AGGAAGTTAATTAACTTAGTTTTGTTCACTTCACACAGATGTAAAGACATTGGAAACCTGGAAACATCAGTGAGAAATCTAGATTTAAAAAAATGTCCTCTGAAAGGACTCCATCAAATTCTCCCTAGCTCAATAATCAAGATATAGGGTGCCTAGAAAAGCAAACCTTTATAAGCTAATGTCCACTGGCTCCTCCATGAAAAAGCGAAAAACAAATTCAAATAACAACTAAAGTGATTACTTTACACATACGCACATGCACACACAATGGCCAAAGCTTAGAGGGTGAGGAGAGCTAGTTTTACTTTGCATATGTATGTCTGTAGAGAAAATTAAAACATTCTGAGAAGGAAAATTAAGAGCATGATAGATCTACCCTACATAGATCTACCCTACAAGAATGGCAAAAAAAGGGAACTACTTAAGCAAAATGACAAAAGGAATGTCAATTCAGGAAGAAAGAAACATGGACAGAGCAAAATGTCTTCTTTTCTGAATTAAGTTGGATGGCGGAAGAAAAGAATCCTAACACTGGCATAGTTCGCAATGTTTAAGACAAAAATATATTAAAAATAGCCGGGCGGTGGTGGCGCACGCCTTTAATCCCAGCACTTGGGAGGCAGAGCCAGGCGGATCTCTGTGAGTTCGAGGCCAGCCTGGGCTACCAAGTGAGTTCCAGGAAAAGGCGCAAAGCTACACAGAGAAACCCTGTCTCGAAAAAAAAACCAAAAAAAAAAAAAAATTAAAAATGGAAGAGAGGAAAGGTTTAAAAGGAGGCAAGATGTCTACAACTGGTGAAGTGCTGACAATAGATTATCATTTATGTACATAGTTTAGTATCTAAAACAACCACTAAAAAGAACCTATGTGATAAGATATACTATAGATACAAAGTACTAAAGATAAAAATGTAATTTTAAATTATGTTCAAGTAAATTCAGGAAATAGAAGACAGTACACAGAAACAAGACAGATTTAAGCGTATTGACAATTACATTAAAAATAAATGGTAAAAATTCACAAAACAGAACATCACTCCTTTAAAAATATATTTTATCTATTATTTATGTGTATTGGGAAAAATTTATGCATACATGAAAGTATAGAAAGTATAGGCATTTGATCTACTGGAGTAATAGAGTTCCAGACAGTTGCCAGCCATTTGATGTGGGCAACTGAACTTGGGTCCTCTGCAAGAGCAATATAAATTTTTAACCACTGAGCCATCTTTTCAGCCCCAGAAATGACTTTAAGTTTTATTCTTACTTTATGTGTATGAAAGTTTTGTCTTCATGTATGTGAAGGTGTACCACATGCCTGCTTGGTGCATACAGAGGCCAGAAAAGGTTCTTAAGAGTCTCCTAGCTAGAATTACAGATGGTTATGAGGCACCCTGTGGGTGCTGGGAACCCAACCCGGATCCTCTAAAGAGCAGCAAGTGCTCTTAAAAAATGGCGCCATCTCTCTAGCAACTCCCTTCCCCAGAATAACTTTTAAAAGTGACATATCTGCTGGGCGGTGGTGGCGCACACCTTTAATTCCAGCACTCGGGAGGCAGAGCCAGGCTAATCTCTGTGAGTTCGAGGCCAGCCTGGTCTACAGAGCGAAATCCAGGACAGGCACCAAAACAACACAGAGAAACCTTGTCTTGAAACACCCCCCCCCCACACACAAAAAAAAAGTGACATAATCGAAAAGTGACTACACATAATTCAGATTTGCACAGAAAAGTCAATCTCAAAGGCTATACACAATCATATTCTATTCCTATACTCTTCTTCCTCCTCCACTTCTTTGTGTGTGTGTTACTCAAGACTGAACCTAGGACCTCCCAGCATGCAAGGAAGCACTTCACCAGTGCTGACATTTCCAGCCCTCACACATTTTTGAAATGACAATATATGGACAAGGAGACAGAAAAGAGGTTTGGAAAGGGTTGGGTTGGTGGTGAAGAGAGGAGTATGACTATCAGGGGGTGGCGTGAGCGACAGCTTTAAGAAGACATTAGTATATTCTCTATTTGGATTGTAGTGTTGGTTCCATGCATACATCTATGCTATAATAAAGTGGTATATAATCATACAATAAAATGTATCAATACAAATTTCTTTAGTCATGTAAGATGTAACTACTGGGGAAAACTGAGTAAAGAGCACAAAGACCTCTTTGCACTACCTTTACAACTTCTTGTAAATCTCTCTCTTGTTTTCCCCCCAGAGCTGAGGACTGTACCCAGGGCCTAGCAAGCGCTCTACCACTGAGCTAAATCCCCAACCCCTCTTGTAAATCTATAATCTCAAGTTAAAAACATTTTTAAAATAAATGTTCAAAGTTGACATCTAGCCCTTAAACTTAAGAGTGTGAAGTTGGGCTTATTTAACCAGTACGTGAATTGATTATCTGTCAAGCTACAGAAAAAAAAAAGGGTGGGGGGCTGGAGTTTGGCTCAGTGGTAGAACTTAATCCTGTGTGTGCCTAGCATCAGGAAACAGAACATTAGAAAGAAGATTCACAGCCGGGCGGTGGTGGCTCATGCCTGTAATCCCAGCATTCGGGAGGCAGGGGCAGGTGGATCTCTGTGAGTTCGAGGCCAGCCTGGTCTACAGAGCTAGTCCAGGACAGGTTCCAAAGCTACAGAGAAACCCTGTCTCGAAAAACCAGAAAAAAAAAAAGAAAAAAAAAAAAGAAAAGAAAAGAAAGAAGATTCACTACTATTATAGGCAACAATGTGAATGAATATCAAAAGGAGTATATTAAGTAAAAAAAAAAAAGGCAGACACAAAAAAACATATGTAGTATATGAGTCTATTCAAATGACATTTTGGAAAAAGCAAAAAACCACAGACACAGAGAACAGATTGCGGTTGCCTAGAGTTGAGTGTGAAGAGGGGACTGAACTGCATTTATGAATGCCTTTTGATATACTTTCTTCTTTTTTTTTTAATTTTTTTTTTTTAAGATTTATTTATTTATTTTGTATACAGCATGTATGACCAGAAGAGGGCACCAGATCTCATTACAGATGGTTGTGAGCCACAATGTGGTTGCTGGGAACTGAACTCAGGACCTCTGGAAGAGCAGCCAGTGCTCTTAACCTCTGAGCCATCTCTCCAGCCCTACTTTCTTCTTTTGAAATCACGCTAATAGTCTACATCCTCAACAATAAAACCAGGGAGCCGGAAAGACAGCTTAGTAAATAAAGAGCCCTTGATGCTCTCTCCTTCTTTCAGAGGACCCCAGTTAGGTTCCAGGTACCCAGACCAGGTGGCTCACGACAGCCTGTAACTCCACCTTCGGGGGATCAAACACCTGTAGTGTTTGCAAACACCTATTCATGTGTGGTATATACCCGAACACACACACACAATACACATAAGTAAAAACTAAATTAAAAAAAAAAAAACTAAACCAACAAGAACTAAATCCAGAAACCTAAATGGTATGTAAATAAAACAAACTAATCCAACTAACAGTACTTCAAATGACTATAACAACCAAACGTAAGCAGGGAAGGGAGTAGTGGAAGAGGCCTCATTCAAAGAATTTCACCGTAGGCTCTCAGTCCAAGAGTAAAATCTGCAAACAAACCTTGGAATGTCTTTTTCTTTTTCTGTTGAGACAGAGTCTATATAGCCCTGGCTATCCTAGGATCTCTATGTAGACCTCACTGCCTAAAACGCACAGAAATACACCTCCTCTGATTCCTGAATGCTAGGATTAAAGGCATGCACCACAGCGCCTGGCTTAGGACTATTTTTAACAGGTAAACTGAAGTTGAAAATCAATAAAACAGAAACTATAAGCAAATAACAAAACTTCATTATCTTTATTATATCTATTTAAAAGCTATCTACTATAAAACTCTTAGAAAAATGCTATAATAAGCATATTGTTTTGGCAATTCATCTACACACAGCAATCACTTAGTCTCTTTTTATTATTTATACATCAACACAGCTGACAAAAACAGAAAAAAAAGAACCTCTAAGATCATATATAGCATGAGTACAAACTAATACAGAAAGGCAATGCCTTCAGGAATGGGAGTTTTCATCATTAGGAGAGTAAATTATAGTCTGGAGCAGCAATAAGAAAGGAACAATGTTTTCTTGCCCTGAGGTATGTGGGTTATTTACCTCCTAATTTCAGGGGATATTCAGATATCAACTGAAGCAAAGACACAGAAGGTCCCAGCATGAAGGGGTCTTGGTAGCTTCAGATCCATAACTTAGGGTATGGATCTGAAGGGGAGGGAAGAAGTAGAAGACTAGGCTAAAAGAGGAATTTTACAGCATAGTCAGACCATTAGGAATGTGGATGATAAAGAATACCAAATCTGCCAGGCAGTGGTGGCACATGCTTTGAATCCCAGCACTCAGGAAGCAGAGCCAGGTGGATCTCTGTGAGTTTGAGGTCAGCCTGGTCTACAGAGTGAGCTCTAGGACAGGCACCAAAACTACACAGAGAAACCCTGTCTCGAAAAAGAAAAACCAAAAACCAAAAAAAACCCACAAACAAAAAACAAACAAATAATAATACCAAATCTGCAGGGAAAGTGCTGGCAACCTTAGGGTGTCCACTCAGTTTGAGTGTCTTGTCTTGTGTGTATGTGTGTGTTTGTGTGTGTGTGTCTCCCTAAAAGCTCTGTGTAGTGTCATGAGTTCTTCAAAAAGACATCCTCTGGAAATACTTCCCAAGTATCCACTGCTAGGAAGTCAGAGGCAATTACCCATGACCTTGCCATACCTTAATGCTTACAGAGATATGTCATTTAACCCACATTCAGTAAAAATTAGTTGAATATGTAACGATTTGCCATAATCTGAGTGGACTAGAGGAAAAAATGAACTGGATTATCAGCTTGGTAAAGAAATGATATATGAGTTCCATTTTGAAGTTTCTGAAATATTAAAAATAAGAAGTTGCTCTAAGAACATAAAGTAGAGAATTATTTCAAGGTAATTTTGATGAAAAAATAAAAATAAAAAAGATATGCTTACTGTACAACAAGCTGCTGGCACACAGTCCCATTCTCTGTTATCAGTTCATTCAGTTTTAATTCAAGGTGAACTTTTCCCTGTGACAAAAAAAAAATCATAAACTGAACAGTCTATTTTGCTAACAAAATATTACAATGTACTTTTGTCCAAATGGCACACATATTTAATAATTCACTAACCACTATCACATGGCTCTGCATACACTTAGTTGTTAAGTGTATAATAACCAACAATGTATATATGGAAGTTCTGAAAGAAAAGTCTAATACTTGTATTAAATACAATATGCAAAAAATTTAAGAACTTTATGCCCTGTTTAAAAATAAGCATAAGTGTTTATTACCTTAATGACCACAGTTTTTCCTTAAAGATGGCACTTGTGTTTTTGGAAAAATTAAGAAATTAATTTCTAAAGCTGTAAAATTATATAAAAGACAGTAAAAATCAATTTTTTTAAAAACTTACTTCTATCAACTACTAAAGATTGATTTAATATATGCTATATTTTAGGAAGTACTATGGGAACAGATGGGAACAAGCAGATGTCTAAGACACAGGCACTACCTACCAGAAGTTCACAAACTAGCCAGGGATACATAAAATAAAGAGTAACAATACATGGCCAAAACCATTAATGGAAGGACTGGAATAAAACAGTTCTTTCTGAGGTGGGTTTAAAACATAGTTTAGTAAGTTGAAAGCAAGTCAAGCTGTCAACTTTCTTAAGAAAAGAGTTAGGAACAACATAATCTAGAGCTGGTTATCTTCTCCTTTCACTGGTGATGAGCAATTCTAAACTGGTTAACAATTAGTGCTGCATTACCTCTACTCAACTGACAAGACAAATACCCACAGTGCAAAGTGGAGATCTTAGGGTATATTGTCTAGTGGTGGGTGAACTGAGAGATCTTATCAGATGTAGGGGTATTTACTCTCTAGTTATGGCTTCTCTTCAGAGCTCTTTTAGACATTCATTCAAAGACTCTAACCTGAATCAGTTTTACTGCTCTATGGGGACTTGTCTTACAAGAACACATCTCAGGACTATGAGCTATGAAGTTCAGGGTTAGATGAATACCATGTGATAAACAACAAATAGTTATGAGTCATAATGCAAAGGTCTGCACAAGAAGATTAAGCTCTGAAACAACAAAAGGCATCAATGTGTAAAATGAGCAGTTATGTAGAGCTGGAATTAAACCGAGAAACAGTCCAGGAAACTCTATGCACATACTGATATAAATCACACATCTCTTACACACTATGTCTTTCACCATTCCTGCATTTATAGCATTCACAACCTCTGTGATTCAAGACTGGTCTTGAAGGTCCATACTACATAGTAATTTCTAGTATCACTCAACTGGAACTTTAAGTCACATTTTCTGTCATGCCAGCATGTGTGTGTTACTTATCCAGAAAGGCAGTTTATACAACTGACCAAACATCTGCATGTTAAAGCATGTTAAAGACTTCCATATGTCTCTCAGGAAATGTCTAGGATCTATTCTATTTCTAAAACAATAAAAACCATTAAAATAGAGAAAGAAAACTATTCATAACTAAAATCACAGTACATAATCCTAGAAATAAAATATTTAATGAAATTTTACCAGGAATTATTATCATTGATTCAAGCCAAGCTAGTATGTTAATTACTCCTACTAATGGTCAAGAGAGCATTCCTTTGGTATTAGTTAATAACACAATTGTATATTAACCCGGTCAAGAAAATTCTTAAGATAGAACAAATAGATACACATTATTAGGGAGGAACACTAAAACTGAAAGACAGTTTAAATTAAGGAATTATAATTTATAAACACTAAAACAGCAGCTAATTGTCTACTGAAAATTATTTATTTTATTAGTGTGAGTGTGTGTGGCCACTGGCACAGCATGGTGCTGCAGAGGTCAGAAGTTGTCCCCTCCACCTTTACATGGACTCTGGAGCTAAAGGTCAAGGTGTCAGGTTTGGGTCACAGAATGCTTTACCCACTATCTTCCCAGCCCCCATTGTCTACTTTCATAAAAAGATGATAGTTGGTTTATAAAAAAACAAAAACAGTTACAGCTGGGTGGTGGTGGTGCATACTTGTAATCCCAGCTCTTGGGAGACGGAGGCAGGTGATCTCTGAGTTCAAGGCCAGCCTGGTCTACAGAGCAAGTTCTATGACAGCCAGGGGTCACAGGGCTATCTCAACAACAAAAACAATTACAAATATGGTGTATAATGTTAACTTGGGAACATAAGTAATACATGTGCAAATTACTATACCAGTATTCACCAAAATACTGAGTATTCCTGTACTGCCCTTAGTAAAAAAAGTGAATGTAAATTTTAAATTATACAAAGCTGCTTTTCAGTGTTAAAAAGCCAAACCTGCACTGAGCGAAGTGATATGCACCTGTAATCCTGGCACCTAGGAGGCTGAGGCCGAAAGAATGGCAAGTTCGAGATCAGCATATACTATATAGCCAATCACTTTCTAAAAAAAAAAAAAAAAGGCAAATATGTGAACATTTTAGAAAAATTAGTCTTCCCTGATTATTTTCACACATTTCTTACATCTTTCACCACTGTGTAGATGTGGATTATAGAAAAACCAAATCTCTCTCTGTCTTATAGATAAAGTGCAGCAAACCTGGTATTACCAGCCTTATGGTCAGGGATAGTGGCTGAAGGGCCATATGACACACTTTTGGTTAATGAAATAGAAATAAAGAGGTTAGTGCAATTCCATAATTTTTTTCTTAAAAACAAAACAAAACAAAATCCCACTTCCCCCCAAAAGAAAAAAACCAACAGCCCAAAATTATTTCCAGTATGTTTACATTTCAATGCCAGTAGTCTACCAAAAATTACTACACAGATGACAAGAAAAAAATATACATGTATGTGTGTGTGTGCGTGTGTGTGTATGTGTGTAACAAGAACAGCAGATTTTAAAAAGAGTGGGAGTTCAAAATAGCTGTCTTAATTTTTTTTTTAAAAACATCACTATTTATTCCAGGCCAGCCTCAAACTCACAATATGTACCCCTGGGATTTTTTTGTTAGTATTTTTATTATTTTTTTTACATGCCAAGTGCAGTCTGGTTTTTTTTTTTCCAAATAGAGAATAAAGTAAAAAATCTAGCAAATACCTGGGAACTATGATATGAATTAAATAAAAAATTTAGAATTAAATAATAAAGTAACTGAAATGAGATGTATTTAATATCAGATCAGTAACAGCTGAAGAGGAATAAAAAGGAGAGGCTAATCAGTAGAAAATACTCATAAAGAACCCAGAGAAGGGAAAAATATAAGAGACATATATATACTGATCAGTATCAAATAAAAATGCATGAAAATTTATGCATATTCTGAAAAATAGAGGTACTCAGGTTAAATGCAATGCATAAAGATAAAATCCTCTCATGTCTAGACAGTCTTTAAATCATAAACATTTAAATATTAATAATTTCCTTATAAAAACAACTGAGTATGTTTCAGGGTTAGAGAGACTGCTCCGTGGTTAAGAACGCTGGCTGCTTCTGCAGAGGTTCCTGGTTCAAATCCAAGCACCCAAACAGCAGCTCACAGCTATCTGTAACTCCAGCTCTGGGAGACCTGATGCCTTTTCTGGGTTCTAAGAGCACCAAATATGCACATGGTGCACATACACACACACACACACACACACATGTAGATACTCACACAGACACGTAAAATAAATAAATCTACAAAACAAATAAAAAAAAAACCCTTGGTATGTTTCAACTATTTTTAAAAACTTCTTATAAAGGAAAACATAAACACGTGGCTTCTGACAGACTTTTGCTGCTTGTTTCTGAGATTAAGTCTTGCTATACTTCCTAAGCGGTTGGAAGACTCCCAAAGTGTCAGAGTAGGTAATCTTCCTGCCTCAGCCTCCAGAGGAGCTGGAGTTACAGACATGCATCACCACAGCAGCTGACATAGCTTTATCTATAGAAATTGCTTTTATAAATAATTTTGGACACAACTGCCTGTCACATAAAACACAAAGTTTTATTTTATAACATTTTATATTGGTGGCAATTCTTTAAAAAAAAATAAGACTTGCTTTTCTCTTTAAACAATAATTTAATAATGAGATAGAGCAGGGCACAGTGATGCATGCCTGTAGTTACAGCACTCAGGAAGCAGAAATAAGAAGATCTCTTGAATTTGAGGCTAGCTTGGTCTACACAGCGATTTCCAGGCCAGTCAAGGCTACATAGTGAGACACCTTGCTTCAAAATAAATAAATAAATATTAAAAAATTAAATTAAAAAAAAATAGGATGGCTAATTTGTTTTTTCTCATGTACAAATTTGTGAATGAAATGAAGTTTTATAAATCAATCTATAAAAATGAATTATGCCTTTATGTTCACTATGCCTTAATTGAGCATGTGTTTAATAAACTAGTATAGGTTTCTTCTTAAATAGTTGTCTAAAATAGTTTTAAAACAAAGGCTATGAACAAAAATTATGTAACAATAACGTATAGTGATCCAGGTGGTCAAGATTATCCTGTTGGGTAAGAGTTAATAAGTAATGGCATCAAAAAGACATAACTGACATTACATCTGGGCTTGCTGTCTGTAAAGTTGGGTGGGACATCACCCATAGTTAACAGTCTTATGTAAAATATGTTCTGTATCACGGCACCTAAAAAATAAGAATGAAACAATGCTTAAAAGCTGTGATTTCCAGCATCTTTACAGCTAAGAGGATAGCTGCAGGCACTAAAACCAAACAAAATTTACAGAAGGCACTGGCACAAGCTGTACTAACTTCGCTTGTATGAAGAAAACACAGAAAAAGTATACCACGTGGCACACAATGACTACCAGAACCAGAACCAGAACCAGGACTAGAACCTAAGGAAGAAATGCTTTGCAAGAAGCAGTCAGCCAGAAACAAGACCTGATTAAAAGTCAAAGAAAGGAAGACTAAAAATGCCCACTGAACTTGGTAGCATAATGTCCTAAGTAGTGAGAGACATTTGTGTGTTCTCTAAGACTCAGTGTAGAGTCTGAAAGCATATTTTTTTTGTTTGTTTGTTT